CAAATTTCAAGGGCTTTAGCAATAGCGATGACAACATGGATCACAGAAAGTTAGATAAGAGGAATTAGAAAATGCACCTCATGATCATTACAAAGGTATGTGATAGGGACTTGTAAATGACTCCTTCCAAGTAGTCATTTGCAAGTTCCTCTATCATGCCTTCTGTAATGTATTTCTACTTCCTCCTACCAAACATTTTGTGATCCATTTCTTCATCATTTTGCCTAAATGCCTTGGAATTTGGAAGGCCCTCACCCAAACATAGGGTACCTAATGATACAAACCCATTTCCCAAACCCTCCCTTATATTTTGGTCTACTGCTTGTTCACAGTTTTGTCTACTAAGATTCGTATAGGTCAATGGTTCAATCCCTTCCAATGTAACCAAAAAAGACAAGAAAGAAAGTTCACAATACAAAAATTCCAGTACCAAAGTATATTACCTGTGAACCACATTACGATCGTGAAGATATGTCAACCCGCTTAAAATCTGCCATGTAAACACAGAGACTTGAGAATCCCTCAAGAGATACTTTTGATATAGATTTGCAAGTGAGCCTTTTGTTACAAGCTCAAGGAAGATATAGAGCTTAGTTTCGTCCTGTAATAAGATTACAATGAACAATTAGTGTACAAGTCAGGAGAATTCAATAATATATTAAATTAACATTGAAATACAGCGAGCTACGTTATCTTATGATTGCAGCTTGAGTAGTTGCATTGCTGAAGCATTTCTTAGATTGATCATTTTATGGTTCTACAAATACAAGTACATACATACACACATACAAGTACAAATACCCATGCACTAACTACAACAACAAGAACACATGCAAAACGAATAGATAAATCTTCCCCAATAAGTAGAAAGTTGTAATTCCCACTAAACAAACTGGCAGGAACCAAATAGAAATGCAAACCAAGAAAGAAAGAAGCATACCTTGTCCGTGCCCAGATATTGAACTATGTTGTCATGTTCAAACTGACTTAAAAGATGAATCTCCTGTACAACAATAATCGTATTAGAAGGAAGAAGGTTAAGGGTTCCAGGAAACAAATAGCATCTAGTAAGTAAGAAAAAAAAAGTTATGCAGCTGAATGAAGTTTCAATCATTTAATAATGCCATTAGATGTTCTTTTATGAAAAACAAAATAATGCCATTAGATAGTAATTTGCAGCTGAACTAAGAAAAAGCAGAACAAGACTGCTTCTTTCGACCTGCTCAAGTTGGATTATGCTCTGCTTCCCCTGGCTCCCCTGATCCAGTAAAGAAACCTCCTTTACAGCAAAAAAGAATCCATCACTGCAAAAGAACAATTGCAGCATCACATAAACAGAGAGAGACCAACCCAGTTTAATGCAATTCCAACTTCACCTTCTCCATCCTTTTTCTAACTTTACAATTTCTTGCTAAGAAAATTCTAAACGCTTTGAGTGGAAACGCCTAAAGTAGAATGGAATGCACAGCATGAAAAATAAAAGTAGGATAAAATGGCAAGTCAATTGGGAAATGCTAAAGGAAAATGCTAGGGATAAAGGTTTTCGAGACTACCTCAAAGGTTTTACGGGTACATTATGCAAAAGATTAAAAACAAACAAGTGTGTAAATGGATAGCAGTACAAGAAACTATACAATTAGAAATGAGAATCTTTTAACCATGAATGGTGGTCCCCCTTGTTATGAAAGTGGTGGTAGTCTTGATATCCTATGTTTCTATTCGTTAGCGCTAAGTTCTTCATCGAATTCCCAGTCTCCTACCAAAGTAGAGTTATTTCTTTTTCATTTTTGTTTCAAATTCAAAGTAATCTTGTTCAGATTGGGTTTAAATCAAACAAAGTGCTAATCACCAACAACAAGGCAGGAACAAAAATTGATAAAGTTTTGGTAGCTAGAGTAAATATTAAAAAAGATTTTGGACAAATGGAGGTGGAAGATGATCACTTACTCAGTAAAGCCTTCATACACAGTCCCATAAGAACCACTTCCCAAAAGCTGACCCTTTTGCCACGATGACGAAACACTCCGCCTGAATTTCCCATTCGGAGAAAAAATACTATGGATTGGCTCCGGGTTCAATCTTACAATGCCAACAAAACCAACACTGTCATCTGCATTTTGATCATCATTACTGTCATTGGATGGAGATGAGTTACACTCGTCATTTGCTTCGTTTACCGCTTCCCTCTCGCCATTTGCTTTAACTGCAAGCTCCTCTTCATCCAAGCTCATATCGCCAACGCAAATCGGCGAATTTACACCAATGTGGTCCTCCAGGGGGGGAAATGATTTCAATACAACCGGAGGCGGGCGGGGACCTTTAATTCCTCCACCAGCACCGCCATTTTTCACATTTCCCCCAAATTCCGCCAAACTCGAAGCCTTAATTTCACTATCGAGCTGCCTAACCCTAGCTTCGGATTTCTTCTCCAAAACGTCAACGTTTGCTCTGTCTCGCAACTGAGGATGACGATTCTGATCGCGGAGGCGAGAGCGAGGGGTCATGCGGGCCCGCTGGGCCTCCCACGCTGCGATTGGGATGGCGAAGTCTTCGGGGCCGGAAAGGCCAAGGCTGCGGCAGATGAGGTCGAATTCACCGTCGATGCCACTGACACGGAAGCTGGTTCGGTCGGAGAGAGGGGACTGACGGCCGTGCGAGGAGGAGTAGGAAGGAGAATAAGAGGAAGGGGAGAAGGTAGAGGCGTCGTAGTCGATGTTCTTGCTGGCGTTTCGGCGTTCGAGTTTGGGTTTCGGACGTTTGGATTGCTTGGCGGCGTCCATGATTTGCTGCCGATGCTGCTTCTTCTTCTTCGTCAAGTATAGTATGGTATGCTATGCAGCATCAAAGTCTCAAGTTGGAAGCTTGGAGGGTTGGAAGTGTGGCAGCCATTGACGGTTGCTTTGTTTTCTAGCTTCTGCTGTCGAGTGGCGCTCTAACGCGGTTCTGGATTATTTCAATTTCAATCAGAGAGCGAGAGAGAAAGATCTGAAACGCTGACACTTGGCGGTACCTTTGACGCCTTCTTGTGGAGGACGTCAAATGAAATGGTATCACCGTCACGTGGGATCTGTATTCAATAATACATTATCAACTCCAAGTTTTTTTTTCTACACATAATATGTTATTGGATTGGAATGTTATATGGCGGTGAACTCGTTCTATGTAAGTTACACTTTTAGTTGTGGTGCTAAGTTTTGTCGGTTTATCCATTAAGATGGAGTGTATTTGTGAGTAATAGATACGATAAATTGCTTAAGGTCTCGTTTGGTACGTCAAATTGTATTGGCTATTTTTGTCAAATGGAGTATTCTATCCATAGAATGGTATTGACTATATAATCAAACGTTTAGTTCAATATCAAACTAAAAATCGACTATTTTATATTTTTAATATTGTAATTTGTACCTGATAAAAGGGATGTCAGTTAAAACATCAAAAATAAAAAATTATGAGCATTAAAATAACCTTGCACAAAAAGTTTTACTATTTTTCTCTTTCCTCTCATCAAATAGAAAAAAGGGGATTTTAAGAGTCTTGCTTGTCATTTGGACTTTGGCATTTATTTTTCTTATTTTGTCATTTATTTAGGGACTGCATTTCAAAAATCTTTTTTTATATATTTTTAATGTATTTTTCTTTCAAAATGTATATAAATTTTAGAGTGCAAAATAAAACATTTAAAGTGTTATAACAATTTCCTTTATTTTAACCAAATTACTTAAAATAATATACAAATAAAATAAATTGAAACCCTTCCTCTTGCCCAGATTTCTCCACTGCACCATCCCCTCACCACTCTCTCCCCTGTCCTGTCATGCCGTCTCTTCTGTCTCTCGAATATACCGGTTTTGTACAATCTTCAAAAATAGATGTTTTGCAATTTTTTTTTTTAACAAATAATAGTATATATGCTAACGAGATGCAAGAGTGGACTAACATAAGCAATAAGCTTATCATAATAATATGGTTCAACTTCGCCTTAGGAATAGGCTTACCATAATAATATGAAATCTATCTACTTTTTTTAGAATATGGATCCTTGTCGGATCCTCTCTGTGAAAATTTAGGACTCCGTAAATCATATCAGTTTATCATACATCATTCAGTCAGAAATCATTTTAAATATTTTTTATTTAAAATTAAATACAAACAATACCTTACAAATTTTCATGATCCTCACAAGGACCCGAAGAGGATCCTGTTGGCTTTTTTTATTCTTGTTTCAATGATACGTAACCTTCTTTTTCTCTTGTCATTTGTTGTATAAGCATCATGCTTGACCCAGCAAAAACAAAGTAAGCCTCATGCTCGTGAAGTGTTCCCACACCTAAAAGGGTAAGACTAATTCTCGATGGGCCCGAAAAGACTAAAATCATTTCAACTCTGACCACATTCAAATAACACGAAGTTAATTGTAACCTTATACAAAATCTTTAAAATATTTTAACATCATACATTTACTTATTATTCATTTCAACCAACCACAAAATCCAAGCGGCAAAATTTAATTTACTCCTTTTTTTATGGGCCTTTTTCTTCTTTTGGAATCAATTTTCCACTCAGAGTGAGATGTTAACATCAAAAGAAGAAAAATGCAGTAACATAACACCAAGACTGCATACTCAGTAACCATTGAAAGAACAAAAACAAGTAGACAAATAAGAAACGACGAGTATACGCTTCCAATCTAGTAACATTCTGCTCTTATAATGGGTTATAACCTGTTAGAAAATTGACTTCTTTCTTCTACAACAGATGGCCTCCGGTGGACCTCACACGATATTTCTACTCCCTGTGAAGAAAATATTTGGGAAATGAATCAGTTAACAAACAGAATAAGCTGCAATTATCCATCCGCGAGGGGCGGGATGGAGGGTTATAATTGCATTTGATCTGCGTGCTATCAAAGAAAATATGTCTTCCAACGGTTGAAACGTTCAATGCTGAATTAAAAAGACCATCTAGATAGTTAACTGTCGAATCATGATTGATACATACAATATGAGAAATTAACATCTCTGCTTAGATATCAACCAATGAAAAGTCTAAGACAACAGGAAACGCAAACAAATTATGAATACTACTGATACAAACCATTTTTAGATCAACCCAGGTGAACGGTATTATATTGTTTTGACAGTTATCCCTTTTTCATAAGAACTTCAGATGGTTATCCTATGTTTAACGAAAAGTGAAATGATCATATCATGTTCCCTGGTATAGCTTTGAGCCGCCCTTAAGCATTACTGGCTTATGAAAATAAATCTATTTAACTCCAACATGAGAATGCTCATAATCACAACTAAGTGAAGGCTCCTGCCAACACGCAGTATTGGGGAAGCAAGAGGTACAGACACTCCTATTTCCAAGAGGCTGTGATGTAGGACAGAGAAGTGCAGTGGATCTTAGATTGTTTAGCGAATCAGGTCATTGGTGCAAGCCATCCCATTCCACAAAGGCTTAACTTCACATTGCTCACAAATTCACCTTCAAAATCTTTTTTTTCCTGCATAAATATAGCCCGGAAAGCACCCTTGAATCATAAAATAATGACTGGTTGTTGGCGGGTACCATGATCCCCAATACACTTGCAACTAGGCAATCAATCTCAGTTTAGCATGTCCTGGTTCTTTCAAAAGGTAAGAGAGAAACTGACTTAAGATAAGACTTAAGACCAAGTAAATGATCTCTCATGGCAATAGAGGTCTTATTCACGTAAAAGCCAAGAAGGGATTCCATAATATCTGTCGTGATTATGATCATAACAGGATTCCAGTATGTTTGTATAAAAAGGAAACTCCGAAACACCAGATAAATTGCATTTTTCGTCTTTACAGTTGTTGAGCAAAAATTGTACATAATATGTAAACAAATAATTCACTCGACACAATTTCACCCTCGTTCAGTTTTCCGAAGAGGGTTTTATTAATTCGAGTTCGACCCATTCTAGGCTACACGCCTATTAATTACAATCTTTCTTTTGGGAAAGAAATACCCTTTGATTCCAATTCGAATAAAAATGTAACTTGAGGAATTTGATGTTTGTTTGATTTTGTGACTGCACCTAGGTCGAACCCTAGATTGCCTACGTACCCTCTTGAGGGATCAAGTCACTCGTAGTTCATGGTGTTTGGGTTTTGATGCCTTGTGCAGTTTCAACTCGTGCGGGCGAGGAGCATAGTGCCTTATGCAGTTTTAGCTCATGCGAGCAAGGAGCATTTGAAAATTTGATATGGCTTCATGCCATTTGAGACTTTTCTTCGGCTTTGTGCCATCTGAGACTCTGATACGGCTTCGTGCCCTTTGAAAACTTTTCTTCGGCTTCGTGCCATTTGGTATTTGATAGCAGGAGTGAATTTAGTTTATATAAACCAGGGATTCGTTTCGATTTCACGGTTGCGTCTAAAACTTGATATTAGACTGCCTACGTATCCTTAACGGAATCAAACAGGCGTAGTTCATTACTTGATTTCATGGTTGTGTCTGAAAATTGATATCAAACTGCCTACGTATCCTTAACGGAATCAAACCAGCGTAGTTCATAGTGTTTGGTACTTGTTTGGATTTGATGCCTTGTGCAGTTTTAGCTCATGAGGGCGAGGAGCATAGTGCCTTATGCAGTTTCAGCTCATGCGGGCGAGGAGCAACTGATGCCTTGTGCAGCATGCAGGCGAGGACTTTAAGCCATTGGAGCATTTGATTCGGCTTCATGCCATTTGAGATTTTTCTTCAGCTTCGTGCCACTCGAGATTTGATACGGCTTTGTGCCCTTTGAAACTTTTCTTTGGCTTCGTGCCATTTTGGTATTTGATAGTATGAGTGAATTTAGTTTATATAAACCAGGGATTCGTTTCGGTTTCACGGTTGCGTCTAAAACTTGATATCAGACTGCCTACGTATCCTTAACGGAATCAAACCGGCGTAGTTCATATATTTGATTTGGGTTTGCATTCTTGTGTTCAGACTTGGAAAAAATGAGAAGTCAATTGGGTATTCAGACTTGTTTGAAACCCATACATGACCTTTTGTGAAATGGGACTTCACTTTTTTTTCTTTAAGTAGCAACCCACGAGGGATGTGCAGTACAAAGTAAATGGGACTTTGTCCTTTCTTTGAGTAGAAGGTGGGATTCACACCATATGGACTAAAAAGGCATTTAAACAACCTTTTATTTTTGGTTGGTTGAAGGGCTTCCCTTGTGTTATAAATCCTTAGTGAATTAGGATTCATCTTTGCATGACTTTTTCACACGGTTTGGGAAAGGTTTGATCCATATAAGTACCGTCCGTAATTAATTTGTGAAGTTTGCTTGCAACAAACTTCTTGTTTTCTTCTTTTATTTTATTTTTTGATTTTCCACCCCATTTAAATATGGGACTTTGAACCCATTTGATTCAAAACCTTCTGACATCAAGCTTTTCTCTTCATTGTTTTTCATTTGATTTTAAAGCTTCCAAATTCCAATAAGACTTGAAAGTACGAAATCCTCTCTCTTCCTCTTCACGTGAGCCAACTCCCACGTAAACCATTTTTCCTTCCTTGCTTTCCTTTGTCTTGTCAATTTGTCAGTGTGTCCCATAATGGGGATCCATGACTTTCTTTTGTTTTTCTCATGAGTGGCCTTCCTGTATGGGAAGAAGACTACATCAATCATTTTTTAATTTTTACTTTTGCTGTAACAAAAGCTTCTTTTGATGATGTTGGCTGGAACTCTTCTCTTCTTTGTGAGTTTTAAACTCCTTTGTTTTTGTCCTCTTTCTCCAACTTTGAATTTATCTTTTGCCCAATATTTGACAATGGTTTACTTATCTTGGAGGTGCCACGTGCTAAGCTTTTTGAAAGAAAGCATTTTTAGTTTTACCACTTCCTGCATGGATTTTGTCCTCGCAGGGGAAAAAAAATATCTTCAACTGTAGTCATGAATCCTTTTTGTTTGCTGGAGATTTTCCTTCCGATTCCCTTTGTTTTCTTCTCTTCCCTCTCTACTTTTCATTTTCTACTTTCTTTTGCAGAGTTTTGTAATCTTCATTTACGGAGCAGCATCAACACCCCAAGCTCCTAAAATGGAGCAGCAGCAACACGCCCAATTTTTGAATTCTTCTATTCTTTGATGCGAAGTTTCTCAATGAGCTCCTAGCAGTAACCATTTCAATTCTACATGTGAGCTACTACGGTTGTTGTTCACACGGCGGAGGACTTCGTCTACGACCGCCTTCTTCTATGCTGTTGATGAGAAAAGGTAGCATGCTGCTGTCCGGATTGAAGAACGGCTTCGGGAACTCCGTGACGATGGTTGAAGTGCCGGTGTTTGGGGAGTTGATAGATTTAATTGGAACTTCACGGGGTGGTTTTAGACCACCCCGAAGAAATTCATGGGAATAACTGCAGTGGCACGTCCTTAACTTTGAAGCAGCATCAATCTCGACTTCGGCAGCTACTTCGGTTTTCCTGGCAACTTAGACAGCAGCTCGTGCCACTTTTGGTACTCTATGTGAGCAGCACGTCCTTTCCTTCTAAGGTATTTTTTTTACTTCAAGACAACAACGACGGTAAGCGTTTTTTTTATTCCTTGAAAGCTCTTATGGCACTTTTTCTCAGCTGGAACGTTGTGCATAACACCATCAATTCTAGAATGCGGAGGCGGGCTTGTCCTTGAAGATGTGACCACGGCTATTTGTTTTTGACACAGGCTTTTGCGGGTTGTTGATGACAGCGAAGACGCAGCGATGGTGGTGTTAAAGCCATTGCAGCGTCCTGAATTTGATTGGAACTTCACGGGGTGGTTTAGACCACCCCGAAGAAATTCATGGGATTAACTACAACGGCATGGACTACTACTCGGCATAGACGAACTTGATGGGTAGAGAGGTCACGACATGGCTGCAACATCCTTTTGGACTTTCGTTTGACGTCCGTGACGGTGCTACAAGTGTCTTCACTGATGGAGAAAGGAAGGTGACAGAGGCCTACGGCTTTATTCTCTAGTTTGAAATCGCCGTGATGGAGAGCGAAGCCAAATGCTCCATTTTTCTTTTCCTGTAGAACTGAGAGAAACCAAACAAAGAAATCTAGAAAGATAGATATGTACCTTTAAATGTTTTGGTTCTTTCCTTTGCCGTGTCTCCTTTTTCCTTCTTTTTTCGCTTTGCTCTCCTCCCTCGTTCTTCTTCTCTGGCGAGATCTCTCAATTTCTCTCCTAATTTCTGCAGGGTCTCCTCCCTTGTTTCCGTGTCCTTCCCTTTGCTTTGGTTCGATGCCTTTTTATAGGCGAACAGTGGACATGGCAGTTGAAGTTAGTGGGATGCAACTTTCCTGGGGTGTGGAGATGCTGAGAGAAAACCATCTCTTGAGTGGAGAACGTGGGAGTTTTAGAGGGTTCTAGATACACACGTTCTCTATACCCGTTGCCATGTAGATGACGAACTTCTTTCAGACTTGGTCTACGCCAAGGTCCACGTGTGCGGGTGTAGGTTTGTTTTTCCCTCTCTTTATTTCTTATATATAAAATATAGTATATATAAGAATATATGCACATACACACATAAAAAGTGAGCCTTATTTGTAGTCGGTCCATATTTTGGACTTTATTTTGAAGTCTTCCCATTTTTATTAAGACTTGCTAATATATTTTGTTTGTGAAAATATATAGCTCAACAGTTGCCCCCTCAAGCATCGTGCGTGGAAATGGCCTTGACATGTACGAGGCTTGAAAATTTTTCTCTTCTCTGGCTCCGTTTATGTTTTAATTTGATAAAAGCGTCCTTTTGTATCTTTTGGCTTGAGCTTTCTTTTTGAGTTTTAGACTCAATTTTCTCCTTTTATTAGCAGAGAAACAATCTTGAAAATTTGGAACAAAGGATAGTTGATGCTTTTAGCTGGGCTAGAGGTGGTGCTTGGTACTTCGTTTTGTTGACGGCATTCCAGGAAATAACAAGGTTGCCGCTGTTGCTGCTTGTGACCGGTGACGCAACGACCGGGGACATGCGGAGGTTACTGCCTCTCTTGTTGAGAGGCTTGGTTTCAACCTTTCTTTAGTTGCAGGTTTCTAAAGGTTTTGCTGTATTTTTGCCGAGAAAAGAGTGGGAGAGACTCTCTGAAATTTTGATTGATGAAGAAGAAGGTTGATCCTCCTAACCTTGCTGGGAATCGGTGAAAGTCCCACCATTTGCTTTGCTTTGGGGAGTGGGAAAGCAAAGCTTCTCCATTTTTTCAAAAGCTGAAACATAATGACAAAGGATCCATAAACCCTTTTTTTTATATGCCCTCGCCATGTACTCTTTTCTGCTTGTTTTTCTATCTTTTCGTAACCAAGCATGCATGATAATTATTGCTTTCAATGTATTCGACTCATCCCCTTTTTTTTTATCACTCTACGTAAGTGAAAAATCACTTTATGCTTTGTTCTTAAACTTTTGCTTGGGAAAAGTTCAAACAAAATCTAGCATATGACTGTTTGAACACATGCTTTTGCCATTCTCAATTTAAAATCGTTTTTAGTGGCTTTTG